TCCATGTGAAGCGTCTGCAACGGGGCCTCTGTCGGAGGAAACTGGGAGGAGTGAGGGGCAGCACGCTGGCGCCCCTCGACACAGGGGACACAGGTGGGGCCAGGGCCCGGAGGAAGGGGAGGGAGAGACCGGGGAAGATCAGACACAAGGACTCGCGAGGCCATGCCTCTGAGCCGAAGCAGAGAGGGGTGGCCAAGGCGGTGGTGCCAGAGGAGGGTCTCGTGAGACAGACGACGGCACGAGCAGGGGGCAGACTCAGGACCAGACCTGGACGCTGCAGCAAACACCTGACCAGACGAAGGGACCCTACCAGACTTAGCACCTAGAGGAGAAGCAGTGGTCAGTGTGTACAGGCTCGACCCTGGCCGACGTGTAAACGTAGCCAGGTGGCGACCTGTATCCGCCTCCGTGCAGTGGGTCACCCGCTGACGAGCAGGGGTGAACTGGTGGACACCCGCATCCTGGAGGTCAGCACCACTCACCAAGTTCGTCGAGAACGAGGGGAGGTAAAGACCAGTCAGGGTGCCAGAGGGGGCCGCCGGACACGGGAGGACAGTGGAGAAGCGAGACAGGACAGGCCCCCCAGAGGGGTCAGCCAGGGACACCGCAACCGGCCGACTCAGCGGCGTGAGAGTGGTGCGGTCCCTAAAGAAGGAGCGAGACGCTCCAGAGTCAAGGGTGAAGGTGTGAGAGGCCGAAGCCGACACAGTACCTGAGAGGGCAGACTCACCAGCACCTGAGAGCACAGACGCACTGGCACCTAGAGCAGCAGCCTCACTAGTACCTGACGCGGCAGTACCAATGCCCGGGTCGGGCGGGAAACACCGGTAACAGTCATCCTCATCACTACCTATCGCAGCATACATAGCAGAGAGAATATCATCAAAATCAAGATCATAAATAGCTACACCAGCCCTAGACAGCTCTCCCCAGCGGGGGATCTCAGCTGCCTCCGGAAACTGCTGACGCCAGGCGTCAGTCACGCGGCCAAAGCAGCGGCGGGCTGTGTGGGCGCCCCCACACCTCTCCCCTGCACGGTCACCGGTGCGAAGAACGTAGGGGCAAGGACCAAGCGCACCACCACGCTGACGCTGCGAGTACCACTCACGGAGCTGCTGAGGGGCGGGGACGGTGCGAGAGCGCTGCTGCTGCTGTGGCTGCTGCTGCGGCTGCTGCTGCTGCTGCTGCTGGCGCTGACCACCCCCAGAGCTGCTCCGCTGGGACGAGCCACTCCGACCCCCGCCTCCACCGCCACCCCCGCCTCCACCGCCACCCCCGTCTCCACCTCCACCTCCCCCACCAGGACCGTCGCTCCCACCGCTCCCACCGCCTCCTCCGCTACCACCTCCGCCGCCACCTCCGCCTCCACCGCCGCCACCAGTACCTCCACTCCCGCCACCACCCCCACCGCCACGCCCACTCCCCCCGCCACCCCCACCGCCTCCTCCACCGCCCCCTCTAGCTCCACCCGCTCCCTTGCCCCCCTTGCCCTTGCCAGAGCGGCGTCTGCCGCTGGGGGCAGACGCCGCGCCGACCGACTCAAAACCAGTGAGGTCGGCCGCAGCGGCAGAGGCGACAGAGGGCAGCAGGGGGGAAGGACCACACCCCTCAAAGATGGGGGTGCGAGGGTCACCCCGAGAGGCCCCTACAGCGACAATAATCTTCTCAGCCGCTAGCAGGGACTCCTCAAGGAGGTCGACAGTGAGAGTGGTGGGACAGACAGAGAGAAACTGGTCCCTAACGACACGAAGGGACTCAGGGAGACGGGTGACGAGAAAGTAGAGAGTGATGTATATGGGAGGAGGGTTCCGCAGCGCGGAACTCAGCAGGAAGGGCAGCGCGGTAGCGGGTGTCACTAGCACGGAGGTGGGTAACGAGGTCAGCGACAGTGGGAAAGGAAGCGAGGTCAGGGAAGAGAAACGGTAGCATGAGGCGGCTAAGGGTAGCGGAGGAAGGGGAGGAGTAGCGTGCAACTACAGCGTCGTACAAGGCCTGAGCGGTCTTGCACTGACTAAAGTGGGCACGCTCAGAGGAAGGGAGGTGGCGACGCACAGCAAGACGTGCAGCAGCATCGCGGGTCGCCCACTTGGAGCGAACGGCAGAGTCAGCATCAGCAGGTGGGGCAGGGACAGCGCCAGAGACAAAGTCAAAGAGAGAGACCTCATCTATCGCATCACACAGTAAGTACAGCTGCAGGTCTTCAATCCAGACGGCAAAGTCAATGGCCCTCCCCTCAGCGTCAAAAGTAAGAACATTGGGGGTGGCCATGGCAGCAGCTGAAAGTCTCACCGGGCTGGGAGAGTCGGGTAGGTCAGCAGTAGAGGAACACAGCTCAGGAACAGCAGCACGGCTCCTCAGGCGGCTCGGGCGGCTCGGGCGGCTCGGGCGGCTCGGGCGGCTCGGGCGGCTCGGGCGGCTCGGGCGGCACGGGCGGCTCGGGCTGCTCGGGCGGCGGCTCGGCCGCAGCTCAGCGGCGGCTCGGGCGGCGGCTCAGGTGACCCGGGCGGCGGCTCAGGCGGCGGCGGCTCGGCGGCGGCTCGGCTGCTGCTGGGCGGCTCGGCTGATGCTGGGCGGCTCGGCGGGGCTGCGTAGCAGAGGGCGGCGGGGCCGCGTAGCAGAGGGCGGCGGGGCCGCGACCGAAGAGGGCGGCGGGGCCGCGTAGCAGAGGGCGGCGGGGCCGCGTAGCAGAGGGCGGCGGGGCCGCGTAGCAGAGGGCGGCGGGGCCGCGATCGAAGGGCGGCGGGGCCGCGTAGCAGAGGGCGGCGGGGCCGCGTAGCAGAGGGCGGCGGGGCCGCGTAGTAGAGGGCGGCGGGGCCGCGTAGCAGAGGGCGGCGGGGCCGCGTAGTAGAGGGCGGCGGGGCCGCAATCGAAGGGCGGCGGGGCCGCGTATTAGAGGGCGGCGGGGCCGCGTGGCAGAGGGCGGCGGGGCCGCGTAGCCGAGGGCGGCGGGGCCGCGATCGAAGGGCGGCGGTGGGGCCGCGTAGCAGAGGGTGGCGGGGCCGCGATCGAAGGGCGGCGGGGCCGCTAGGGAAGGGCGGCGGAGCCGCTAGGGGAAGGGCGGCGCAACGGGCTGCTAGGGGCGACACGACGGGTCGCTAAAAAAAAAAACGCGCCTCGGGGCGCGGTTCGGTGGGCCCTAGAAGCAGTCCCTAGGAGGGAACCTGCTCTGATTCCATGTGGAAACAAAGAACGAGAATGGATGACTATGAAGTGAAGTGAATACAAATAGGAAACCCTAATGTGTTGTACCCCCTATGGGATACCCCACTATAGCCTACACAAACAAGTAAGCTATATGTTCTGACATGTACCCCTTAGAGTACATGGCTAGTTAGGTCGTTTCGAATTCCCTTGTACTCATATTTATATCGTTGTATTTGCATGTTTTTATCATCTCAAGCATTTTACATTCACTCTGCTATTGAGGTCAAGGGTCCACCAACACTACCTCACTGCGTGTGAACCTACGAGAGTAGATCCTGGGCTACGATCAACTTCTGATCTCAGCAAAGGCAAGCAAGCATAGCTGGCATAAGCCGTCGTACTCTCACAGTGCCGATCGCCCCATGCCACTATTTGGCGTAATAGCTACTTTCAACGTGTCGAACTGTTCGATCTATGTTGCCTGAAACTGTGCCCACGTCTCTTCGCCTAGGACAAATTTGTTGCTAATCCACTATAGAGCTAGGCCTTGTAACAGTGTGAGAAGAAACGAGGAATGATTGAACTAACAAATAGTTGGGTACAAGTACTAACCCTAATTGGGTTGTACCCCTTATGGGCTACCCCACTACAGCCTACACAAATGTATAAGCTATAATGTTCTGACACAGTGTTGCTGCGAGCCCTATGCGCATCGCGTCTTGGGTGGGGGTCGTGGATCCAATGGCTTCAAAGTAAATTTTGAGTTCAACTTGTCAGAACTATGTTGTAGGTTGTAGTGGGGCACTCCTTATGGGGTACAACCAAAATAGTTTTTCATATACAAACCCTGTACTGCTGTGTTTCTAGTCATCCTTCGTTCCTAGTTTCTGACATGGTTTCAGAGCAGGTCCCCTAGTGGGAACGTTTTTTTTAGGGCCCACCACGATAAACATTTTTTTCCTGCCCTGCTGCCGCCCTACAACTACGTTTCCTACTACCACCATGATAAGATTTAGGGAAGCGCGCTTCGCGCCTACCTCACCAGCGCCGTCGCGCGCCCTTCCGTACTACCGCCCGTAGAGGCCCTGCCCTCCTGGTCTGTAGCGGCCCTGCCCTCTTGGCCCGTAGTGGCCCTACCCTAACAGCCCGTCGCGGCCCTGACCTAGCTGCCCACCGCGGCCCTGCCCTATCGCCGCCTCGTCGCAGCCCTACCCTGCAGCCGCCCAGTCGTGGCCCTACCCTGCTGCCGCCCCGTCGCGGCCCTGCCCCACCGCCGCCTCGTCACGGCCCTACCCTGCAGCCGCCCAGTCGCAGCCCTACCCTGCAGCCGCTCAGCTGCGGCCTTGCCCTGCTGCCGCCTCGTCGCGGCCCTGTTCTACCGCCGCCCCTTCGCGGCCCTGCCCTGCTGCCGCCCCGTCGCGGCCCTGCTCTATCGCCACCTCGTAGCGGCCCTGCCCAGCTGCCACCCAGTACCGGCCCTGCCCTACCCGCCAGTCGCGGCCCTGCCCTGCACCCGCCCCTGGTAAGCGCCTGCCCTGCCAAGCGCGCCGCTGCGCCTGCCTACCTGCCGCGCCACACCGCTTGTCCGCGCCGCACTGCCTAGCCGGGTCACGCCGCCCTGCCGAGCCGCACCGCCCTGCCGAGCCGCACCGCCCTGCCGAGCCACGTCACCATGGAGAGCCGCGCCGCCCTGCCGAGCCGCACCGCCCTGCCGAGCCGCGCCGCCCTGCCGAGCCGCGCCGCTTTGCCAAGCCACGCCGCCCTGCCCTACTGCTACTGCCGCCATGACTAGTCCTACTGTGTTTACCTTCGATGTTGAGGGTCGTGCAGTCGATTTTGAGGTTTGGGTCGATGACATGCAACTCTATCTTCAGTGCGACTCTAGGGAAGGAGTCTCGCTCTTCGATCACACGTCCGACGCTTCTATTGCACCTAGTGCCAACGCTGACAGTACGGTACGCTCGCAGTGGACTACTCGTGACGCTGTTGCTCGCCTTGCTGTTTGTAGTCACCTGCCGTCTGCTGAGCGTGCGCACTTTGGCCAGTACAATACTGCTAAGTCTCTGTATGACGTTGTTGTCGCACGCTACTCCTCCCCTGCCTCTGCTGCCCTCAGCCGCCTAATGCTACTGTACTTGTTCCCTGACCTAGTCGCGTTTGCCACAGTCGCTGACCTCATCACTCACCTTCGCACTAGTGACACCTGCTACCGCGCTGCGCTTCCCTCCGAGTTCTGCGCCAAGAACCCCCCCCCCCCCCCCCCCCCATGTACATCATCCTCTTCTACCTCGTCACCCGCCTCCCTGACTCTCTCCGCTCAGTCAGGGACCACTTTCTCTCCCTTTGCCCCACTGAGCTCACCGTCGACCTGCTCGAGGAGCGCCTCTTTGCAGCTGAGACTAGCATAGTCGCTGTAGGAGCTTCTCGCGGCGACCCTCGCGCCCCTTTGTGCTCCCCCGTCCCCCTTTTGCCCTCTGTTGCTTCTGCTACTGCTGTCGAACTCGTTGGCACCGAGGCGGTCAGGGCTGCGTCTGCTCCTAGTGGTAGGCGCCGCAGCGGCAAGGGCAAGGGAGGCAAGGGTGGTGGAGGAGATGACGGGAGCGGCGGTGGTGGCGGTGGAGGATGTGGAGGGGGTGGGAGTGGAGGTGGGGGTGGAGGCGGGAGTGGGGGCGTTGGTGGCAGCGGTGGAGGTGGAGGCGGCGGCGGCAGCGGTAGTGGGGGTGGCGGCGGCAGTGGAGCTGGTCGGGGTGGAGCCGTGCAGCGTGGAGGCTTTGGCGGTGGCCAGCGCCAGCAGCAGCCGCGTTCCTGTGAGGCCCTGTCGCCCCAGCAGCTTCGTGAGTGGCACTCTGGGCGTGGGAGGTCTGGGGGTGCTGGTCCATGCGCTTACGTTCTCCGCACTGGCGAGCGCCGTGGAGAGACGTGCGGGCTGCCGCACACTACGCAGCACTGTTACGGTCGCCTGACTGATGCCTGGCGCGCACAGTTTCCTGACGCTACTGAGCTCCCTCGCTGGGTTGATCTGCTTAAGTCTGGTGTTGCTATCTTTGTTCTTGATTATGATGCTATCCGCTCTGCCATGTATGCTATGCCTATTAGTGCTGAGGGTGACAGTTACCTGTGTATGCCGCCTAACCCAGGTATAATGTCTGCTGCTCTAGGTACCAGTGAGTCTTCTGCTCTAGGTACTGGTGAGCCTGCTGCTCCAGGTACTAGTGGGTCTACTCTCTTAGGAACTGCGTGTCAGAGGTCCACTGGTGATCCCCGATTGGTCCTAGGGAAGGGTTACAGGCTCGTTGCCCTGGGGGGTTATGGGCGCACTGACCCGCTACTTAATAAGCCCTTTTATGCCAATGGTCTAGTGGTTGGGATTCTGACATGGTATCAGAACGAAGGTCTCGGGTTCGAATCCCGGTGTGTGCACTTCGGGCATCCCAGTGCGGGGGGGGTGTCAGAGGTCCACTGGTGATCCCTGATTAATCCTAGGGAAGGGTTACAGGCTCGTTGTCCTGGGGGGTTATGGGCGCACTGACCCGCTACTTAACAAGTCATTTTATCCCAGTAGTTAGTGGCTGGGATTCTGACATGGTATCAGAGCGAAGGTCTCTGCTTCGAATCCCGGTGTGTGCACCTCGGGCATCCCAGTGCGGGGGGGTGTTAGAGGTCCACTGGTGAGCCCCGATTGATCCTAGGGAAGGGTTACAGGCACGTTGGCCTGGGGGGGTTATGGGCGCACTCACCCGCTACACAAACAAGCCCTTTTATCCCAGTCGTTAGTGGCTGGGATTCTGACACTGCGCCTGCTGAGGCCTTGCACACTTTCACTCTTGACTCGCGACTGTACCACACTCACGCTGCTTAGTCTGCCGGTTGCTGTCTCCCTGGCAGGACCCCTCTGGGGGCCCAGTCCTTGCACACTCCTCTACGGTTCTGCCGTGTCCACCGGTCTCGTCTGGTTCACTGTCGGGTCTTCACCTCCCCTCGTTCTCTACAAACTTGGTGAGTGGAGCTGAACTCCAGGATGTGTGGGTTGACCAGTTCACTCCTTGAGGTCAGCGTGTGACCCACTGTACGTGTACTCGGACAGGTCGCCAGCTCGCCACGTTTACCCGTCAGCCTGGGTCGAGCCTGTACACCCTGACTACTGCGTCCCCTCAAGTTACTGCGTCTGGTCAGGTGTTTGCTGCCACCTCCAGGTCTGGTCCGGAGTCTGCCCCCTGTTCGTGTTGTCTCCTGTCACACCAGACTCTCCTCTGGCACCACTGCCTTGGTCACCCCTCCCTGCCTCGTCTTCGAGGCATGGCCTCCCGTGTCCTTGTCACTGGTCTTCCCCAGTCTCTCCCTTCCCTTCCCCCCGGGGCCTGCCCCTACCTGCGTTCCTTGTGTCGAGGGATGGCAGCGCGCCGCCCCTCACTCCTCCGAGTTCCCTCCAGCGGAGGCTCCGTTGCAGACTCTCCACATGGACGTGTGGGGCCCAGCCGGCGTCCGTGGACAGGGTCACGAGCGTTACTTTCTGCTGGTCGTTGACGACTACTCGCGTTACACCACAGCCTTCCCATTGAGCCACAAGGGTGAGGTCACTGATGTGCTGATCGACTGGATCTGCGCTGCCTGTCGCCAGCTCAGCGAGACTTTCGGCTCAGACCTTCCTGTTCTATGTCTGCACTCTGACAGAGGTGGAGAGTTTTCCTCCGACCTTCTGCGAGCCTTCTGTCGTGCAGAGGGCATCCGCCAAACGTTCACGCTTCCGGCCTCTCCGCAGCAAAATGGGATTGCTGAGCGCCGCATTGGCATGGTCATGGATGTCCCTCGTACGTCCATGATCCATGCAACTGCTCCCCATTTTCAATGGCCGTTCGCAGTTCAGTACGCTGCGCATCAGCTCAACCTCCAGCCCTGTGTCTCCGTTCCGGAGACCACACCTGCTCTGAGGTGGACGGGGAAGGTTGGCGATGCGTCTGTGTACAGTGTCTAGGGATCTCAAGCTTTTGTCCGCGATTCTTCCGCGGACAAGCTGTCTTCCCGTGCAGTTCCCTGCGTCTCCATTGGCTTCCCCCCTGATGTGCCTAGGTGGCAGTTTTACCACCCCACCTCGCGCCGTGTTCTGTCCTCTCAGGACGTCACGTTTGACGAGTCGGTTCCCTTTTTCCGTCTCTTCCCCTACCGCACTGCCCCTCTCCCCCCCACCCGCTACTCTTCCTAGCACCAGGTCCTCCTCCGGTAGACCCCCTCCCCCCTCAGATCGTGCCCACTCAGGTCGAGCCTATCGAGGTAGCTCTAAACTCTGGTACTGCTAGGGGTGCTGAGCCTGCGGGTGCGGGGCCTGGGGGTGCTGAGCCTGAGCTTGCGGAGCCTGGGGGTACTGAGCCTGGGGTTGCTGAGTCTGAGGATGGGAGCCTGGGGGTGCTGAGCCTGAGAGTGTGGAGCCTGAGCGTGCTGAGCCTGGAGGTACTTTGTCCTCTAGAGGTCCTACAGGTGTCTTGTCCCAGCGGGAGCCGCTCTCTCCATCGCAGCTGCGCGAGTGGTTTGCTCGGCGCTGGAGCCGTGTTGCTGGAGCTGGAGGTCCTGCTGCTACTAGAGCTGCTAGAGGTTCTAGAGCCGCTGGTCCTGGAGGTGCTCGTAGTGGAGGTACTGGAGCTGCTGGGGCTGGCGGTGCTGCAGGAATTGGAGCTGGAGTTGCTGGAGCTGTTCCTCCTGGAGGTGCTGCTAGTGCTGGGGCTAGTGGTGCTGCAGGAGTTCGAGCTGGAGGCGCTGCAGCTGTTCCTACTGGAGGTGCTGCTGGCGCTAGAGCCAGCGGTACTTCAGGAGTTGGAGCTAGAGGCACTGGAGCTGTTCCTGCTTGTGGTGCTGCTGGTGTCGGAGTTGGTGGTGCTGCTGGGGTTGGAGCTGGAGGCACTGGAGCTGTTCCTGCTGCTGGTGCTGGAGCTAGTGGTGCTGCAGGAGTTGGAGCTGGAGACTCTAGAGCTTGGGGTCCTGGTGCTGTCTCTTCTAGTTCTGTAGGCGCTGCGTGGCCGCGGCCGTACTTTGTTCCACTCCTTCAGTAGGTTCTTGGTCTCCCGCCCTCTACTGGTCCTACTCCTCCCTTACTGTGTCCGCCGCCTGACCAGTCGTAGTCGCACTTACAACCAGCACCCCCACTGCCTGGTCCTTCTCCTTACACTGGACCGACCAGAGGTCTTGCTGAGCGTCGTGAGCCTGCGTCTCGCCCTGCGTTGACTGTTCGCGCTGCTTGCACTAGTCGTCGTGTTCCGTATCCGCGTCCTCCTCCTGTCCCCGGCACGCACCAGATGGCACTCCGTCCTTCCTCTATTCCACTGCGTGTCACTCTGCCGTCTCCTCCTGCGTCCTCCCTTACTGATGGTCCGGACCCCCACTCGACTCACTTCGTGCTGACAGCCCTACCGTCACGTGTCTGCTAGCTACTGTTGTCACAGACCCTTCCTTTAAGTCCACAGCTGCGTCTGCCTTAGTTGCTGAGCTTGTCGACTTTGCTGCTCGTTGTCGTCTCGACTACGCCGCTAGTCTTGTTGCTGAGTCAGAGTCTGCCTGTCCTCCGTCCGTCGGGGGTGAGTATGCCCTTGGCACGGACGTCCTTGAGGATAGGCAGGAGGACCTTAAGTGTTTTGTGGCTGCTGTACCTCATCTCGTGTCCTACTAATTGCACCTGAGGGAGACCCGGATGCACCAGACATCCCGACCCCGTGCTCTTACGCAGAGGCGATAGAGGGTCCCAACTCCTCTCAGTGGCAGTCAGCCATGGACTCAGAGATGGCATCCTAGAAGTCCACAGGCACTTACGTCGACGAGGTACCCCCTCTTGGGGCGAACATCGTCAGTGGCATGTGGATTTTCAGGGTGAAGCAGCCGCCGGGTTCTCCGCTTGTCTTCAAGGCACGTTACGTTGCACGAGGCTTCAGTTAGCGACAGGGAGTTGACTTCTTCCAGACCTTCTCCCCAACCCCGAAGATGACCACTCTTCGGGTCCTGCTGCACGTCGCCACTCAGCGTGACTACGAGCTTCACTCTCTTGACTTCAGCACTGCTTTCCTGCAGGGCAGCCTGCACGAGGACATCTGGCTGCGCCTCCCACCTGGCTTCACTGGGTCGTTTCCTCCTGGTACCCAGTGGAGCCTCCGGCGGCCAGTCTACGGTCTCCGCTAGGTGCCTCGCAAGTGGCAGGATACACTGAGGACGACTCTTGCTGCTCTTGGGCTTGCTCCTTCTACTGCTGACCCATCGCTGTTTCTATGCACCGACACTTCGCTGCCGCCGTTCTACATCCTCGTGTACGTCGACAACTTGGTTTTTGCCACTGCTGACACGAGGCACTGACTCTAGAGAAGTCAGAGCTGCAGAAGAGACACACGTGCACAGAGCTCGGTGAGCTGCGTAGCTATCTTGGCTTGCACATCACCCAGGACAGAGCACGCCGCACCATCACCCTAGCGCAGTCACTCATGGTGCAGCTGGTCCTTCAACGCTTTGACTTCCAATACTCCTTGCTACTGTCCACTCCTCTGCCTACCGGTCACTCGCTCTCAGCTCTGCCTTCGGATGAGTCCGTAGAGCCGAGTGACCCGTATCCAGAGCTTGTGGGCTGCCTCATGTACCTGATGACCTGCACTCGTTTTGATCTTGCCTACCCTCTTAGCATCCTGGCACGCGATGTTGCGCCCCGGAAACACCGACCATAGCACGGGAAGGCAACCAAGAGGGTTATGCGCTACTTGTGCAGTACGTCAAGCATGGGGCTCGTGCTTGGAGGACGGGGTCCAGTTGTTCTCACTGGTCACGCAGACGTTTCTTGGGTTTACGACTTGGCTACGCAACGGTCATCGCAGGGTTACACCTTCAGCCTTGGCTCCGGTTCTGTTTCGTGGCAGTCTACCCGCTCATCTTCTGTTCTCAGCTCCAGCTGTGAGACTGAGATCTACGCAGGGGCCATGGCTGCACAGGAGCTACGCTG